AATTTTGTGACAAAAAAGAAGGAAATGATAATTCTGTTTTTTAGTGAAATTTTGTGACAAAAGAGAAAGAAATGATAGTTTATAGGCAAGTGTTGATAAAACATTGGTAATGCATTTCCTATATTCCTTCTAGACATAGCCAAACAATAACAATGCAATTCATATGTTGCATCTAAATACCACCCAAACAATAACAATCCATTTACAGGTAATGTATTACGCAATAATGTATTACGCCAGTAATATATTTCACAGACAATATATTTCTAGGTATCCAAACGACACCTAGGGTTTGAAGCCTAAGGTTCGTTTAGGTTTTCCTAGATATAGGGGTTAGGCTAAAAGGAATTTTTAAGATTTTCTAGGAAGTTTTCTAGGAATTTAGGTTGTAGGGATTTTCCTAAGGTTTTTGTTTATTTTTTCTAATTTTTTAGGTTTCCTAATGTGTAAGGAGATTTTAGGATTTTGGGGGATTTCTTATCTAGCAAATTTTTGTTTTCCTAGGATTTTCTAAGCATTTGTAGGTTTTTAGATATTTTAGAATTTTAGAGGATTTTTTCCAAGGATATTAAGGTTGTAGGGATATTCCTATGTTTTTTGTCGTTTTCTTTATTTTTTGGTTATTTTTACCAAATTTCTAAGTTTCCTAATTTTTTGGATATTTCCTTACTTTTCAAGGTTGTTTATTCTTTGTTGTTTTTCCTAAATTTCTAGATTTCCTAAATTCTGAGGGGATTTTCTTACACTTTTTTAGGATTCTTTTATTTTTTGGGGATTTTTTCTTATTTTAGTTATTTTCCTAATTTTTTGGTTAGTTTCTTAATTTTCTCGGTTTCCTGATTTTTTGCTTTTTTTCCTAATTATCATGGTTTCCTAACTTCTAAGGTGGATTTACTAAGGTTTTCTAGGATTTTTTGGAATTTTTTTTTATTTTATAAGGAATTTAGGTTTTCCTAGGAATTTCTAAAGATTTTTTATTTTCCTAAATTTTAAGGATTTTTTAGGTTTACCTGGGATTTTCTAAAGATTTTTTGGGTTATTTTCTATAAAGGGTTGGGGGACCATATGTTGAAAAGTTAAAACACCCTTGAAAACTTATGAAAAGTTTTGAACCCGATGAACATGGAAATTTTGTAAAAAATCTTGTTCAAGACTTTCTAAGTATTTGTTGGATTTGAGTGATTGTTGGATAGTTGGAAAGCTTATGACATTTTATATGATTTAGAATCATGGTTCATCCAATTTGAGTGAATTTTAAATAGTTTATAAGACTAGGACTTTAGGGTGTCAATTTTCATGTTTTTGGTGTCCAATTAGTGCTAGGGTTAGTCTTCTATATTTATTAGGCTCATGGGTGTTTAGGATGTCTAATTTTTTTACAGGCTTAAGGATGTCTAAGATGACTAATTTGGGGTATTAGGTAGATTTAAAGTTTGGGTTTTAATTGTGAGAAGTTTAGAAAGGTATAAGGTTACAAGTTTTGGAATGTCTTTGACCAAATTTTCAGGGAGTGTCTACGATTATTAAATAGTTAATAGGTCAAGTGTATTTGCCAAATTTCCTATAATATTTAAATAAAAATTATTTTACCAAAATACCCCTATAAATTTTAGAAATTTTTTGTCATTTTGGAATTTTAAATAAATTATTATAGTTATATTTTTTTAACAAATGTTTTGTGGTGAAAATGTGGACACCCAAAGTTTGAGCGGAATTCTATGTATAGGAAAAAGATAAGGAAAACGTTTTTATATTTGCCCTATCGCACAGAAGATATATACTCCCCCATCTAACAATCGAATTTAGATCAAGTGAGCCACCGACTGTTTGATCTAGATATGATGCCTCAAAGTATTTTATGTTTAGTTTTTTTTACAAATTGTATGAAAATATACAATTTGGTCCATGTCATTTCTCAATGGGGCGCAACTGATATAAAGAATTTTTCGATACAACATAATGACCAAAATATCTCTTGATACTTTTTAGGGGACACCCAAAATTTGGTGTCAAAGTAATTTCTAGAAAAAATTAAAAATAAAAAAGCATAGAGACGTGACATTGTGCCATTCAAAATGGACGGTTGGATAGAGGGGAAGTATATAAGTTTTGTGCAATAGGGAAAGCAGAGAAAGCTTGCCCAAAGATAAAATTAACATACCAGATGTGCTCTTATAAAATGAGACATAAACATGAAATAAATAAATATTAAAAATATTTTTTAAGTTTAAAAAATATAAATCATCATCATCAAAGCTTCATCTCAATAAATTGGGGTTAGCTACATGAATCATGTTCCGCCATTCTTCTCTAAACTAGGTTTAGGATTCATGATTAGATGTTACAATATTTTATGATGGCTGGCTACCTAACGCAGCCCACTCATTTATCC